TTATGGAAAAACCTGTCTAATACCCAGGTAACTGAGCTCAAACCAGCTACATATGCAACAATGCCAACTGGTTTGCAATGAAAAGGCATGCCTGGAGAAAAAGTGTAGGAACAGGGCACCAGGTTTTGCTTTTAAAACATCTCTGTCCCACCATTCTTCTCTCCATAGTTAATTCCTTGTGGTTTTAGCAGTGTTTTCCCAATGAGGTGCTGTGTGGAGGGGACTCCCTTCACCCTCGCTCTGCTGTGCAGGTCCTGCTCCCAGCGAGGGTTGGGTGCTTCCACCATGGGGCTGATGCTGCTCTGGGAAGAGGTATTAAAGAAGGAAGGATGGCTACTGAAATTGCCTCCGGAGTTTAGCTCCTGTATCTTATCTTTACAAGTTGTTGCTTTTAAACTGTAGCCTTGAATTTGCCAGCCAAAACCTCCTGCTGCACCAGGCTTCACCGCAGGGAAGCAGAAGGCATTTCACCTCCCAGCATGAAGGAAAACTGCCTTTTTCCTCCTGAATGACAGGCCTGTTTCTTGAGTAATGTTTTTTACCAGAGGGGAGATTGCTGATGGGGAAAGTTCGTTGGCAGCTTCCCGTCAGTGTCTGCATTCGATCTTGATGCAGCTGTGGCTTTCCAGCAAAGATCTCTCCCTGTGTGCTTACTGACTATCATCATGGGAAAAAATAAGGAGTTGCTCTTCTGTGTGATCTAGATGGCAGTGAACGTCTGATTTTGATGTGATGCACATGAGTGTTAATGATTTCTTGCAAGATCTGAATCTTATCTTCATGGGCCAGGTCCTGATACTGCCCTCAGATTCAAGAGGCGGCAGCACGAGAAGCTGAGGGATGCCATGTACTGCCCTGCTGCGTGTGCCATGATGCTTGGGCACACAGGCAAACAAGGGGCCAGGTACTGAGCTCAGACATGATTCAGGCTAATAATTCATCTTTACTCGGGGCTGGATTTACAAATCCCCCACAGCTGATCCAAACCTCCTTCCCTGTGTGGCCTCTTTGTTATTTTAAGAGAGGGTATAGTTTTGCCTTCAGGCCTCAAAGGTTGGTTGGTTGAACATGAGCTTCTGAGAGAAAACATCCTAAATCTGCTTCGGCTGCCTGCCTGGAAGGGAGCTCACTTCTGAGGGGAGTCAGGATGATTTTTGGGGCATTTAACAGGGCAGCTGATGGGTACTTTCTGGGATGGATCAATGTCCTCTGGGCCTGCTGAATGTCCTGGTCCAAGGGATCTTGTCCCACCTCAGCAGCGAGTGTTGAGGAAGAAACCTCTTCTGCCATCCCAAAAGACAAGATGGGGAAAAAAAAATGTTTCTCTTGTTCAACCCAGCAGACACTTTCTCCTTTGCTCAGTCTGACCTTTTATTTTTCTGTTGCCATCATCCTCTCTATCCCCTTTTCCAGCTCTGCTCATTACACATGTAGCCTTTTCTGTACTGGCTGCTGCCCAGAGCAGTGGCCTGTACGAAATGCATATTTCCACCTTCCCCACAGAGCAAATAAAGAGCTGAGCATTGCAGGCAGGGCTGCTGGCCTTGCTGCTCTGCTGGGGATGAGTGTTTAAGGGGTGCAGGAGTCAGCCTAGATCCCCACTGGAGCCAGGACAGAGCTCCTACTGTTTGGGCCGGGGAAAAATCTGAACCTGGGAGCAGGGTAACCCTGCAGCAGTTAGGGTTTACCTGATTTCCAAGCAGTTATGAATGAGAAGCTTCCTTACCAGGATCCCCCTTTTGGATAGATGTCACCTTGCCTGCATGCCTTGCTGATAAGTGCCGGGACTGTGGGTGCCATGCATTCATGGGAGTCCATCACCTGGCTGGCTGCTTGTTGGAAATACAGGCTGCAAAATAAACCTGTGCTGCCTTGCTAGGAAAAGCAGCAGAGAGAGTGGCTGTGTCAGACTGCTCCTCTGGACCGAACTGCTTCATCAGAGTTTATCTGGGCTAAAGCAGAGCAGGGGTTGGTGTCCTCCAAAGAATTGGCTGAAACACCCTCCTGGGGTGTTTTTGGATTAGTGAAATGAGCCCACTGGGATTTTTTTCTTTTCCCTACATTCCCTGTACTTGACAGCAAGGTGGATGTCCTCTTAACCAGCACTCTTGCAGTGTGGTCCCCATTTAGTGATGCGATGTTACTAAATTAGTTGTTACTCCTGAAACCTACTGTGAGATTAAACAGCCTCAAGAATTATGACTAAAGAGCGGTTTAGATTTTGAAGTTTATTATAACTTAAGGGCTACTCCCAGATTTTTCAGGCACATAAGGAAGAGTCTGGGTGTCTGGTCAAGGGGCTGAGTGCATGGTGCTGAAGCTGCCTCCTCCCTCTGCCTGCCCTCCACTCCCCAAATTAATACCTTAGAAAAATGCAAAGTTCTTAATCTGCTTTGCGTGTGATTGAAAATAATGACAGCACTTCAGTGCAGTAGTTGTAAGAAATGCTTCAGGAGTGAGCTGTGATCTCAAATACCTGCTCCTCATTTACTTTCTTCTTTTTATAGACTCATTCTATTGGGGCATTTAATCCTCCAGTCTATATACACAGGATCTATGTGAGAGGGGTACTACCCTATGAATCTTTCTTGCAGTTTACAGGAGGTAGATTTGAGGTAGCTGACCTAGGTATGGTGACTGTCCTCTCCTCTGTGGATTTAAAATACTTGATTTAAAACAACCTCTTAAACTGTGAAAGTCATGCAATAGGCATGTTTCAAGGTTAGTGCTCCAATATAGTATAGATTGAGTGCTGTTGTCTGTTTAAAAAAAGTATGTTAACTTACAGCAGTTTGTGGCCTCTAGCTCAAGGTGAGATTGTTTCATTTGTGCTGATTACTTGCATTTTATGTCCTGAGTGTTCTACAGAGACATAAATAATTGCACAGCATTCCTCGGGTATCCCATGGCATTCCACAAAGGGCATGCTTAACTCTTAAGACTTGCTCATCGCAGACTGCTTCAGATCCAGGTCTACAGTATCATTTTCACATTCATAGGAAGGTGAAAAGCTCTTTGCTTGCCAAGTGCAGCAGCATGCTGGCACCAGTGGAGTGCAGCAAGGCAAGAGAAGATGGACACAGGCTGACACTCCCTGCAGGCTTGGGGCCCCCATTATGCAGGTGTACGTGAGACAAGAGAGTGGAAATTTTGCTTTGGCCTTCCCATGGTTACCCATTGTAAAGCAATCTCATTTCCTGAGGCTTGATGCTGACACAAAAAAATAACAAAACTGCGTGGCAAAACTGCCAGTGCTACAAGTTCCTCCATCGGCTGATGGTATGAGACAGATAACTTGGCTCTGCGAGATCCCCCTTCAGATATGGGGCTTTTGCAGCTCCCACCTACCCCCAGCAGCTACCCCCACTCCTGCAGGTTCTGTGGCCCCCAACAAACATGTCCATTGGTGGGTACTGCTCTGGCCACATCCCATAAAGCTTCCAGTGCTGGGGTGGAAAAAGCTCTGGGAAGGTGGGAAGGGCAGAAACAGCTGGTGGAAGGGTGCTTTCCCACATGGGGAGGTGTTCGCACATGCTGGAGAGGTGTGGAAGTGGTTGGCATGTGCCTGTGACCAGCAGAAAATGAGAGGTGTTATTGCAGGGACGGTTTCCGCAGCCTTCAGCAGGTGGAGGCTGATCGCCCCCCCACACGTTTACTGGCTTCCTATTTGTGCTCAGCCCCGCCTTAAAAAAAAAAAAAAAAAAAAGAAAGAAAAATGAGTTGATGTTAATAAATGCAAAGCAAAAATTTGGCTGCTAGGAATAACCACAGCACGAGTCCTTCTGTCCTCGCTTGCTTTGAGTCCTCTATTTTACCTGTGCCAGAAAATACCCCATGTGCAGAAGTTTATAATGAATCTCATGCAGCTTGAATCTGGTAGTAATCTCACCTGAGGAGCAGAGCCACTGGAGGGATCTCCTCCACCTCTCGTGGGGTTTTGGTAGACTGCTGTGCCCCGGGGAGTCACCACACAGCTCAGATCCCCACTGGGGGCCTCTGTGGACTTTCCACAGTGTAAAAATAGATGTACCACAGCCAACTTACACTATCAGCTGCAGCATCACCAAAGGTGCCAGCAGCACGTTAGGCCCACGTGTCGGTGCACAAGTTAATCCAGCAGCTAACGGTATGACTGAGAAAAACCCCCACCACTTAAATCACCTTGTTGTTTGTATTTTATTCTGAAGTGCACTAAGTCTGGTTTAATTGCAACTAAAAGACAAGCAAAAGGTATGAGCTAGCTGAAAGGCAGTTTCCATGTATCTAGCTATATAAGAGCTTTCACAGCTTTCCAGACAGGCCTCTTATGGAGCCACATGTTGTCCAAACAGTCTGCCATGCTTCCTGGGGTGCTTACACCACACAGGAATGATCTGGTTGAGCAAATCTGCTGTGTCCTTTCAGAAAGGAGCTGATGTATTTCTACCAGCATTTATTCTCTAAATGAATACATTTTTCACTTCTGCTGTGAATATCTAAGATTCTGGTTTAAAAAAAAACCCAAACCAGCCATGAGATTCCAGAAATAGTTTACTTTTCTGGAAAGAAGATTATTTTCCAGTCAGTGAAACTTGCACCAGCTGCAAGCAGCTGGTTCCTAACCTTCCTGGTGGACTGACATGGGCCTGAAGCAAGGAAAATCACTGCCAGTGCCAATGCAAAAACACAACTGACTGAAAATTGGGGTGATATGAAGCGCTGCTGCTTCTTGTCTCCAGAGGAAACAGCAAATGCCCTGGAGCCCTCTGAGCAACAGGCAGGCACTGGGTGGGATGCACACCTAGACCACAGGCTGCTGGCAGTGCACACTTTCCACTGGCCTGGTTGGTGCCAGGTTTGCTTTTCCTCTTGGGCAAAACTGGAGACGAAGGCAGTGGGGATTTTTCCCATGCATGATGAAGGCCAGGAGGCCAGAGTGCTGTGGGCTTTTCTGTACTTGTCTCACTCCCGTCAATCAGGAAGTGGTGACGCAGATTTTGGGTTGGGTTTGAGGTTTTGGAAGCCTTTTCTAAAAGTTGATCTCCTCGCCCCATCATATTTCTGAATTGTGAAGCCGTGGTGAAGGCTGGTGGCGACTGGAGGGTGCCAGCCAAAATGCAGCTCCTCATCAGATGTAATGGGAGGATTTTCCTGGCTATTTGTTTAATCCTCTTTGTGGGATACACAGCACAAGGTAAAACAGGGCGGTTGTTCTCTTGGTAATCCTCTCTCTGGGCTATGCAGTGTAGGCCAAGTAGGGAGTCTCTGAATTTTTCAAACTGACCTTCTTCTTTCTACTCAGAAAACCTGTTTTGCTAACATTTCATTTTCTGGAGGGGAAATGGTAAGAAAAGGTACTTTTTGCAAGTGGCACATTTCTGTGCCCCTTTCCCTATGAGAAAAAGACTTTATAAAATACATTGCTGTATGTGTGTATATTTTCAATCCATGTATTTCAATTTGTTGGGGGGTTTTTTGTGTTTTTTTTGAAACAACATAGTGGTCCAGTTACTACTGTTATTCAGTTATGTAGGTGCAGACAAAATATGTAACAGTTCCCATGTCATAACTACTATGGTCTGCTTTCTTGTGATGACAGGAAACTGGTCCTAAGTATGAGGAAATTAAACGTTTATTCAGTACAATATTGCAACACGCAGCCCTAATACAACTAAAAGGAAATGTTGATTCATGGTGATACGCATCCTGGGGATTTATTTCTTGTGAGAGAGAAGTGTTCTCCAGCATGTACAGTACCCTTTATCCCCAGACCAAGGCTGTGATAATGATAGGCTTTAATTAATATCTGCCACTCAGAGGTTGAGGGATTATGGCCTGGTTTTTGTATGTTGTTTATTTGCAAATTATTCAGCTGCAGTTGCGTATTTTGTTGCCACTGTTGTTATTAAAAACCTTCTTAATAATATGAGAAGAAAATAAGTATTAAAAAGGCATGTGCTGTAAAAGAAGCAGGAAATTATACCCATGCGATCATTTTTCGCTTACAGAAGAGTGTAGGAGGTAGCTGAAAGTCATCTAGTACATTTCAGTAATATATAGGGCAATAGAAAAGTGTAATTACAGAAAGATATTCCCAAGAAATGGAGAAAAAAATAGTTTGAAGTGCCAACATGGGGAGAATGTGTCAGGAGGCTTCAAAACAAATTAATTACATAAGACAGAGAAGAAGGATGAAATGCCGCTGTCTTTATCTTTACTATGCAATCGTTATTTTCTCCTTTTGGTATTTTTTGAAGACCACTTTTTAGTGACAGCCACAGTCAGGTACCTGGGGAGCACCAGAGCTGCAACCGTAGGCTTACATAACTGAGTCATATCTAGGAGACACCTGAACCATCTCTCAAGGCAGCTCTTGGCACACCTTGAATTTCCAGCCTCCCTATCAAAACTCATTCCATTCAACTTAAGGGAGCTGAGCTGAGTCACTCAAAGCCAAAGCAGAGTTGTCTGTCACCCTTGCTGGAGAGAAACAGAAAGGGAGGGTGCAAGAGGCAGCTCACTGCTGGGGTGGCTTGTCCCCAGGGGACTCTGAGATATCTCCACCAGCTTTTGGGAGAACTGCAGGTGGCTGAGCCCACAGGTCCCCCACGGATATGCCATGCCATGCCATGCCCCAACTGCGAATAAGCCCTGCTGTGATGATGGCATGAGGGAGGGGTTTCCCATCAGATTTTCATTCCTAATTCCTGTGGACTTCCCATGCCCATGTGTGAGAAGCACCTGATATTTCTGAGAGCAAAGATGTCACTTAGGATGTCAGTAGCCATTTAAAATGTCTTCAGGGTTAATTTATTTTTTGGTGGTTGAGCAATCAGGGCCTCACAAATTGCTTTCTTCCACTCCTTTAAGCTTTATTAGGTACTCATAAAATTAATAGTCCTGGTGAATAACATCTTGGTCCTGGTGAATAACACACAGCTGATTCAATCAGGTGCTCCAGTGCAGAAGGCAAGGTACAAGAGAGTGAGGTGCCGACCTGATGCCTGGTCCGCTAACTGCATTGAAGAGAAGGGGCCCTGGTTTTACATGGCCACTGGTGGAGCCAACAGGATCCTTCCTCCCATGGCAGACCCGTCCCTGTAAGTTCATTTGTCAAATGTTTGTTGTTAACTCTAGCATCCAAAAATGTCCGGTATTCCTGTCTCAACAGTCGTGTCATAGGTTGTCTCACCCATGGGAATGTGAGGCTTCTGTGTGCACATTTAAGAGATAATAAACAAAACAATTAATTTGGAATGAACTTGCTGCTGCTCTGCATTTCAGGATGAAGCGATACCAGGAGCTGGGTGACATATTCCCTCTCTCAGATGAGGAGTCTGGTTCTGGGTCTGACACCATGGTGGAAGCAGAGCCAGCCTCTGGGTCAGGGCTTGGTGATGGCAACAGCTTCTCTGAGGTGAAGCTGCCTGTCTTCTTAGCGGGCCCGCGAGGCAGCGAGCTGAAGAGAAAGCTAACGGAGGAGGATTTGCTCCTGTAGGGCTGGAGATAGCAGCCTTCTTGTGCCTCCTGCACCCCTTCCCCAGTGCCTGACCCAATGCGATGGCCATGAAGCAGTTTTAAACCAACTTCAATAAAAACTTCGCCGTACAATCTTCATTGCTTTCACTCACTAAAAAACCTTCTTTGTTCAGTCTGAACTTGCTCTTTGCTTTTTGTGGGTAGGGAAGCCATCCCCAGCAGTGAAGAACAGGTTCTGGGGCGGTGCCTGATCCATGTGGATGTTATCGTGCTCCAGGGGTAATAACTTAAAAACCTTTGTGTGGCGGGAGGCACCTGCACTAATCACATGAAATACTTCCAGCTGGCTGCCTCGCACCCTGAAAACCACAAAATCTTGTGAAAATGTTTTGGGACCCTGATGAGGAGTGTCCGAGTGAACTGGGGTTGTTCAGTCTGGACAAGAGAAAGCCCAGGGGGTCCTTATCTCTACAACTGCCTGAAAGGAGGCTGCAGTGAGGTGGTGGTGGGTCTGTCTCCCAAGTAACAAGCTATAGGACACGAGGTAACGACCTCAGGCTGTGCCAGGGTAGGTTTAGACTGGATATTTGGAACAGTTTCTTCACAGAGGGTGGTCAGCCATTGGAACAGGCTGTCCAGGGCAGCGGTGGAATCACCGTCCCTGCAAGTGCTCAAAAACCATGTGGCCCTCGGTGACACGGTTTAGTGGTGGACTTGGCAGTGCTGAGGTACCGGTTGGACTTGATAACCTTAAATGTCTTTTCCAGCGTGGTTGATCCTACGGCTCTCATTTCACCCGTTACTTCCGGATGACGGCATCCCCCGGGCGCTGCCACCTCCCGGCCGCTAGGCAGCACCATCCCGCGCTCCGCGCATGCGCCGTCACCGCCCGCGGGCCGGCCCTCCGGCGGGCTTGGAGCGGGAAGCGGTGGGTGGAAGGAACGGTGGAGGGAGGCGGTCACGTGCGGCGGGGGGAGGCGTGGCGTGGCTGGGCTGTAAGGTCACATGACCGGGGCGCGGGCCGGGCGGCTGGTGCTGGTGGCGCGCGGGGTGGGTAGTCAGCCGCGGAGGGGAGCGCACCATGGTGAGTGCGGGAGCGGCGACCGCAGCCGCCACGGTACGCGGGACGCCACTCTCCAACCGCCGCCTCAGGCGATGGCGGGGTTTGGCCGGGCGGCGCCTCCTCCTTTCTCCCTCCATCCCTTCCTCCCTCCCTCCCTCCCCACCTGTGGCTCCGGCTTGTGCGTGAGGAGAGCCGACCCGCCGGTCGCAGTTTGCTCTCCGGTGCTGCCGGTCCTCTCTCCCTCACCTCCGGCCGGGCTGCAGAGCGCCCGGTGACACCCTTCCCCCCGCCGCCGGTTTGGCCGCCCCCTCCCCGGCCTGCGTCATGCGGCCGCACTGCTCCCCGCTGCCCGCCTCGCCCCGAGCTGTGCCCGGGCCCGGGCGCGGCCGCCCCGTGGAGGTGTCGGCGGCCTCCCCGCGTGAGCCGCTGCTGTGCGGGGCTGGCTCGGGGGAGAGCTGACAAGACGGCAGGCGAAAAACAAAGGTTTGGGTGTTCATAATATAATTTATGGATTAAGGCTTGGGATGTTTCCCAGCTTTTCCGTATGCACGTCTTCACCAGGACGGGGATTAGCCATGGAGCTCGACTTCCATTTTTCCTACACAGCTGCTGTCGGGGAGGCTTTGGAGAGAGTGCATGTGATAGTCCTGAAAACATAAGTAGATCTTTCAGCAGTCCCTTAAGGCAGCAATTAAAATGACAGTAGTTAGTAGTGATCCTTCAGGGCTGGTGAAATAGAAGCCACTTTGTGCTTAGCAGGCTTGGTCTAGGCAAAGTGCTTGGAGTGCTGCGATGTATAGGTTGAAAAAAACCACATTATTTTAAAGAATAAGCTAGATTTGGTTCTGAAGCATGTGGATTCTTAAACATATGTCTCTATCTATTGGGCATGGAAAAACTTTTTAGGGCTGTATGTGAAGCTCAGGCTGGGATTTCTGCACTGTTGATCAGCTGCTGGGAGCCCTTGAAGGCCTTTAGTACAGCCGTAACACTTAAGGACTGAATGCAGGTTGATTTTTGACCCTGATGAAGCAAAATTTTCAGCGTCTGTCTTTTGCATGAAATCAAGAACATAGCCTAGCACTTGGCCAGCTTCTGAAAACCTTATTTCTCCTCGTTTTCTTAAGATGTAACATAATAAGCCATATGATGGCTTCTTAAAATATTCTTGTTTTGCATAGTTTCCTTGCAGCAGTATCTTGGATAGCAGCTGGAGGAGATACCAGCTGTTGACTTTTTTGCTCCATATGTTGTTGTCCTCTCTAGATGAGATCATGGCTAATCTCGAAGGGGTACAGTTGAAATATTCATGCACAGTGTCCCGAGAAGTCCTATGCTACCAATGTTAGGTCTGGCTGACTTTTAAATGTTGGTACAGGTTCATAATTTGGAAGGTACTGTGAGGGTATCTTGTATGATGTTTATGTAAAGGTAATGTTCTTCCAGGTTTAGCTGGGGGGGGTGTGTGTATGTGTATAAGGCTAATCTGGAAATATGAGTACAGTTTCTAAGGGAAAGATAAGGGCATGTTCAACAGGAACTTTTAACGGTTCTTACTGAAACTTTCTTTCTCACTTCCCCAGGAGCCAAAAATCAAGAATGGTTCTAGTGTGCAGTGATTTTAAAAAAAATAAAAAATTCTTGTTTCAGCAGTTAATGCAAATATGTGCTTGGCAGGGACTTGGAAGACAGTTTGGTGTTATATTTGACCACCTTGTTGATCATCTGTTTCTTTCCTCTGAGAATGTGAAGTAGCTATAACTGGGTTTCAGCTATAGTTCTGTACATCTTTGTGGATTGAACTAGGGCTGCTTGCTATCTGAACAAATAGAAAGTCAGTTTAATCTTGTGTGAATCAGTGTTTTATAGCTCAGGCTTGTACTATGTCTCTGCTTGTCTTGTAGGGGTAAGCAAAAAGTCAGTCTTGACGCTGCTAAGGAGTATTGTTCGGATCAAACTGTTCTTCTAGACTTTTTGCTATTGATGCTATATTTCAAACTTCAGGTTCAACACAATGTGTTGAAATGTGTTTTTACTCTTTCTTTTTATATGAAATTGATGAAATGAGAATGACTGTTTCATATATACCAAATTCATATAGTTGAAGTGGATGCTGTTGTTGAGAACATAGTGTACTTCCTCCAACCCCCGTCAAAATTGTACTGAATTAGTGTTGTCTGCTACAGTACATCAAAGCAGATTACTGTTTAATTCTTAGGAGAAAATGTTGACTTTTGTCCTTATCTTGTTGAGTTTCCCATAGAGCCATTAACATGTTTTGCAGCTTCTTGTAAGAAATGTTTGTGTAAGGTCAAAGGATGATGTCTCCTAGTTTCTTATGTTTGGTGCTGGTCAAAAGTTCGTGCCTAGGGAATGCTGTTGTAAGGTGAGGACAAACACTTGGTGTTCATAATGGATTGGTGCCTGGAGCAGTATTACAGGTAAACTTGTAACATCCACTCTATCTGATGGCAGAGTAACTAAGTTAGACTGCATGACGAACAGCTGCCTCTTGAACCTGTTAGTGCTCACCTTATTGGTTAAGAGGCGTAGCAAGAGACGTCAAATAAAAATCCCTATTTCCCTTCACCAACCAGGGGGATGCTTTAGGTCTTGTATTATATCCCCTGTTGTTTCTTTTCGCCCTGCTTTGCTCTGTTACTTGCCTTGCTTCTGATCATACTTGTTATTGCTATTTATGCAGTAAGTTATAGCGGGTATAAAGCATTAAGTTTTTGTTTGTTTGTTTAATAATATCTCAAATCTTAAACCAGATGGAATATATTTGCTAAAAGTTTGTTGTTTGTGGTTTGTTTGGTTTGGTTTTTTTTTGAAGTGTGGTTTAAAAATTGTTTTTTTTAAGTGAAACCAGTGATTGTAAACTTTGCAGTGTCAGAAACCAAAGTTGTGTTTACAACAGTAATGTTTAAAATATTTGTTAGTATTTTACTGTAGGAGTAATAATGGTAATTACGCTGTGTACTTTTTTAATAAACGCTATATTTTGTAAAAGCTGTTGCTGCTTGTTACTGACCTCATTTCAGTTATTTGTGAGGTGAACAAGTGTCTTTTTGTCATTGCTGTTTCTTTGGTCTTTAATACATAATGGCTTTGTAGCTTCATGGGAGCACAAATGTTTTTTTCCAATGTATAATGTACAGCTGCAAGTAAATACCACGTTTTAAATGGTGTGTCCACTGTGTAGTAACTTTTCTAATTGTTATTCCAGAGTTTTCTTGGAGGCTTCTTCAGTTCTGTTGGTGAGATTGATGTTATTCTCAATGATGCTGAAACACGAAAAACAGCAGAAATCAAAACAGAAGATGGTAAAGTAGAAAAGCATTTTCTCTTCTATGATGGAGAATCTGTTACAGGAAAGGTAAATCTTTTTTAAAGTGAGTATTAATACTTTACTGACTCTGGTGTATGAATGCCTATAGGAAGGTAAATGAAAAACTGATATAAGCGAGGGCTGCAATTTCAGCTTGTGTTATTATTCAGACAGGAAACACTGTTTTCCTATATGTGGGTTTGTTTTTCTTTTTTTTTTTTACCTATAGTCATTCAGGCAACTGGTAAAACCCAATGTTTTACTAGTGTTTTGTTTCATGTCAGCTTGCATTTGTGAATAAGCTTTTTGTGCAACCATGTGCAATCCTGTCATTGCTTCTGACAACAAAACTATTCCAGACTGGATCCTCCTGCTTCTGCTTCCCCTTGAACTCCAAAATCCACGACCCAGCCATGTAACAGTGGTTTTTGGCTGGCAAAGCCAGCTTGCTTTGCACACCCTGAAACTAAACCTTGTGTTTCATGCCCTGGAGTGGTTTATGGAATTGTATAAGACCAGTAATACATGAAGTTGAGCTGGCTGCTGCATCAACAAGACTTTTTCTTGTTGGGGGGGTGTGTGCGTGAAGGAGAGACAATGACTCCTTGCCATCACTCTGGTTTTACTTGGAGCTATTCCTGCCCTCTGAATGATTCTGTTATGATTTACTTTTCCTCAAAGAAATTTGATCCAGGTATGGGGTACTGAGATTGACTTCCAAATAGCTAGTTTGGTCTT